ACCGTTATATTTATATGTAGCCAAATTTTTTCAAACAATGTTGTATTTACTCTTAAGTAGACAATATTCTTGGATATTTGATAAAAATTTTATTGAAATATTACAAACAAAATTTTTTATTAAATTACCCTAGCTTTGCACATTAGACCACTATGCCACGTCCACCTTGGTGAACGTAAGTTCCGCAGGGTTATCACTGCTGCTGCAGCTCGCTTCGTACCGGCAGGATGCATGACGGACGCACGTCCAAATTTCCCTGCTGAAACGGCTGTTCTAGCCGATGAGCGTGACAGTCTTCGTCAGGCCGATCCCGGAAATCCTCGTATCAGGGATCTCAACGCGGAGATTCGGCAACTAGTGAACGTACATAAGCGGAAGCAGTGGGAAGAGCATCTGAAGACCTGTAACTTCGCCTCCGATGTGGGTAAGCTTTGGTCAACCGTGAGGTCACTGTCCAATCCGACGAAGCACGACGACAGGATCGAAATTTCTTTCGGCGACCATGCTTCGTCGGACCCGGAGCGATGCGCGAGCTATTTTAGCCGGCAGTTCATACTGCATCCTCCGGTGGACAAAGCCAAGCGTCGAGTGACCAGAAGGCTGCACAAACTGCCAACAACTTGAGCCCCCCTTGCTTTCACTAGCGGTGAAGTTCAGGTGGCTATCGGGAAGGCGAAAGCCTCCAAAGCCATGGGTCCCGACGGAATATGCATGTTGAAGCTGAAAATTTGGGTCCTGCGTGAGTAGCGTACCTAACGGAGGTCCTCAGTATGTCTATTGCCATTCTTATCAATGAAATATAAAGTATTTATTTTTACTGTGCATTATTTCCCTCAGTGTAGGTAAGGCAAGTTAAGTCTAAGTATTGCATAATCGGGTTTTTAAGCTTAGTTTCCAGCTTCAGAAAAATTACAAGAAATACTTTTCATTATTTCTCTGCATTGAAAGAATCCTTTGCCATTGCTGTAAATTTTCTTGAAGAAATATTTACATGTACATATGTATATTTTTAAAGAGCTGTAAACAGACCAACAAATCTTAATAGAAAATTTCGTTTTCATTTTTTAAGCGTGTTTTTATAAGATTTTTTTATATTTCTTGAGCTGGAAATATGCTTTAGACTCAAAAAAGACATTACAACAAGAAAACAATTGGCTTTATGTCAATATGTAAGGAGTGACATAACGCATCAGCATAAATACATACATATGTATACTAATTTTAAGACTTACTTCAATATTACCTTGAAAGACTTTTAACTGCATTCGCATCTTATATGCAAATATCGTCGTTTAAAGTAAAAAAACCGCGTATCAGCAAAATGCAAAACAGCGTATCAAGATAATGCAAAACCGCGTATAAATTATTCTCTAGAGAGTAAAAACGCTCATATTTCAAAACGGTTCTCTTTTTTATAAAGCAATAGCACTTCTGGCTAGTATATTTCAGGACGAATGGGTAATGATTGAGCCAAGAGCTTGTGTAAGCAAATCCAATTTTTGGCAGCCAATGTCAGTTACGCGGTTTTGCAGAATGACGATACGCGGTTTTGTACTTTAAACGACGATATGTATACATATGGACAGAAACATATCTTCGCTGCGCCAACAAAAACAGTTATGTGTTTTTTATAACTTTTCAGGAGAGCAAAAAAACTGATTCCTGGCGCCAATAGGCAATATTTGGCAAATGTCGTGTTATACAAAATTATATTAAAAATATGTTATTGATTTATGCAAAAAAAATCAATTTTTTTGGCCAATTACTACGTGATCAACATTTGCGCCGCTATAAATAGCTGTTTTTATACACGATTTAAATTTGCTTTTGGCGGTATGGAATCGTATGCAATATGTACATGATGCAATGTATAGAAGTTGAGGACTCGATTAGCTAACTGCCCCTTGCTCCTGTTATGTAATGAATAAAAAATTATAGTTTAAAAAACTAAAACCTCCCTATTATAATTGCCATTCGTACTGTCATCAGGTATGTAACCTGAGAATAGAAATCGCTGCATCTTTTAGGCGCATCAATATTACATAGTTACATCCCGAGCTAATAAAGGGTAGGGATGTTCCGATACAAGTAAATACGAGTATGTACTCGATACTTTTGTTTCGATACCAACTACTTTTTTTACTCGAATCGTTGTTTCGATACCTACTTGGTATTTTGTACAAACCATGAAATTGCCAGAGAACTGGTTTTTTCGGACAGCGTATTAACTTGACCCAATGCACTTTTTTCAAGTTTCGATGGGTGATATGCAATGAAAGCTCGTATATACAAGAAATAATTTCAATATAAATATAATTGAATTTTTTTAAATGCTTTCACATTTGTATACATTAGCAAATTTGCATAACATATTAAATTGCATAAAAATGTAAAACTAAGTATGTATTTATCGAGATAGAATATCATAAAACGAATGGAAATCTTTGTGTATATACTTATTGCAAGCGATCAAATTAAATTTTAGAATCTATGTAGTGTAAGCGGTATGTGCATACATATGTATGTATGTATGTATTAATTGGTTTATAATTATTTTTTACCTACATCGAAATCAAAGCCCGCTCATCAGTTATAAGCAATGAAGCGTATACCGGTTTTTTCGGAGTACATTTGTACTGTTTTTGGTCGGTTCTAAACCAAAAGATATATAAGGCTTTCTGCACATTGGTCGCCCAATCATTGTTGCTTCAATGTCACAATCATGATGCAACGATGACATGACGACTACACTTTCACATACTCGGTCGTGATATTTCAATTCATTTGGCGTCTAAAACTTCATTTGGAGCAGGTATTTTCTGTTTTTCTGGTAGATATTTTCGCGAAATATTTACAAAAACCTGGAATTTTCAAAATATGGATTATGCTGCAACAATTCTAGATATAATTTTTCAGTAATTTCTCTTTTCTTTTCCTGAAATGCGCACGCACGCTGAGACTTTTTACAATTTCGTCATATTTCATAGTTAAAACTCTCACATTTATTGAATTTCATTGCAATTATCCACTTTTTAATAACTTCTACAGATTTTATGCAAAAAATACAAATTGCAATATTACAAATGCAAATATTAACTTTTTCACTAATTTTTCCCCATAAAATGTAAACAAACAATGCGTGCAAAACGATTAGCAAACTACAGTGCCATACTTATCCGTTTCTGCATCTTCTACGATTTGCCGATAACTAGCCGATAACGATAAGTGTGCAGATCTCCTTTGAAATTCATGTGCTCGGCTCAAAATTTCAGGGCGAGACGATAACGCAACTACGATTGGACGACAAGTGTGCAGATAGCCTAAGAGAACGGCAAATGCAGTAATGTGGGCAATAGGTAGTGTTAATAAAATAAAAAAAATTCCAAAAATCACATACCTAACTGTTTTTGTTGGCGCAACGACGGTATACCTCATAAAGGAAACCACGTTAATAAAATTAAAGAAATGTTTTATTCGATTGTTTTAAACACTTTTTTGTTTTTATTAGCCCAATGTTTTTGCGCGTTTAGTTTCTTATTAAAATATTTTATTCTAATAACAACCGGGACTTGATTTAATGTTTTTTTCTAAATTTATACGAAGGTTCTAATTCTAACAATATCTTGATAGTTTTTTTAACTGCCCTTTAGTGAAAATTTTTTCAAGGGAGGTTTGTAAAGACTTAGTCCCGTTTAACTGAAAGGTAAGATCCGCTATATTGTCTTCCATTGTCTTTTTTTAATGAAGAACTTACTCAGTTTGCGTCTGCGCATCAACAGATGATATCGTCACTTCTGAACTTTCGAGTGCTTTAGGCATTCCAGGCACAGAAACCTCCCAGGGCATGGGTTCTGCACCTGGGTATAAACGCATGCGCTTAAAAATATTTGTCCGCAATGGGCAAGTAAGAACGGGCGCTGAAATGATTTTCACATGCACGGGAAGAATCTTACAATTAAACACCGCAGCTGTTCTCCCAGCGAATTCTTCTAACTTCGCAACTAGGCGCCTTAAAGTATCGCACCACTTTAACGTCTTGGCTCCTGCCAAACACAGCACAACGCTCGTAGTTTCTGCTCCATTTCATTTTTGTATATGTATCTATAAATTGATGTGGTCGAAAAACAAACAAATGCACACCGTTCAAAACTATCTCACAGCACGTAATTGAGTTTTTAATGAAAAATAGAAAATGCCAACTTGAAAACGGTTAAAAGTTACTCATCATTTGACATTATAGTCGGTGTTCAAAAGAGAGAAATGTCAAAATCACTTCTACCTTATTTAATATGCCTTGATTGAAACTACCTTCTTGTTTGTATCATTCCTACATCTTTATCTATGTAGATTCCTCAATGGCCACTTCAATAGTATCTCATATGTATACATTTTAAGCCCCTCGCCGCTCATTGCGTGGCCTTGGCCTTAGGGTAAAAAAACTGGCCCACTGCAAGTCCACTGTAAAGTAGCCAAAATATTATTTCATCCCGACGTGTCTCCGAATACCAAACGCATTTGTTATGTAGTCATATGCGAATGCCAAAAGCCGGTTACCATAGCAAGTTCCAGTGTAATTTGCAACACAACAAACAAAATGTTTCAAACAAGGAAAAAGCTGTGTAATAATTTATTAACGTAAACTAAGTATACATATTTGATTTGATTCATTATACCTAAAACATGTTTGTACATTTAATAAACAGTTTAGGTGCTATCTAATGTATCGAAGCACATATTTATTCATTTTTCTTTCCAAATATGCCCTTATTGCTTTTTATTCCGCTATTCCCTTGCATATTAAAGCCACTGTATGCATGAACTTACATATGTAATTACATATATACTACATACGGACTATCTATGTACATGTGTATCACCACAATTATTTTTTCTGAAAAAGGTATTTGGTGTCAAATTAAATGATTGTCTTTCATTTTACTACATACTGCCCAAGGCGAATTTAAATGTATATAAATTCGTCTTGATAATACCTGGCTTACGTTTTTATGTGTCTATGTACATATTTCTGCATGCGATTTGTACATCACTTTTAGAGTTCTTCGTTTGGCAACCCTTTGGTCAGTTTAGTCACTCTAAATGCCTCCAGTATGTTAAGCTTTTGTTGCAGCTCCAATTTCTTTGCATCCGTTACTTTTCCAGCTTTCAGACGCTGCAACCTCTTTGTCTCCTCCTCCACATAGTCGTAGCCCTTCTCATTGATTTTCCTCATGAAAACGATATACGCTTTAGCACTTGTCTTTGCGGCTACGCTCGTTAGCTCTTGCGATATTTTTTCAGCTTTTTCTATCAATTTCCTCTGTTCGGAGTCCTCTTTGTTGGCATATTTTTTTACTAATTCCTCAAACTCCTTCAAACAGCCATCGCGTCCAATGTACAATTCCGTATTCTGCGTCACGAATTTTTTCAAATTGTCCAATGTCACATCCAGATAAGCGGGAAAGCGCTCAAATTTATCCACTTTTCCATCTTTGAAGAGCAAAATACCGGGGAAATTCTTGTCGTCCACATTGAATCTTAGACCCAGTTCCTTGTTTTCATTCTCGCCGTAGTCTTTGATGCCAACAGTAGCTACCAGCAGCTCCTTGGTAACTTTGTGTGCCGCCCTTGATAATGCGGCGAAAGCTTCGTGTTTTTCGCCATATGGAAAAGCTATGTCGAACTTGACCAGAGCGTAAGGGAAGCGCTCGATAGTCTGATCGAAGTTCAGTTCATCCAGTTCCACACAGCCGGCGCATGAGCTGGCCTCTGTCGCTGGCGTCCAAATGATGAACACAACAATGGCAACTAGATTTGGCAGGTACTTTATTGGCGTTTGCATATTTAGATACATGTATATTAAAATTTCTGCTTATCAAATTTTTCAGTTTATTCTGTTGTACAAATTTTGTTGTCGTGCTTTCGTCACTTCAACACCACCGGCAAAATTTTATGACTGAATAAACACGAATAGGAAAAGAAAGGTAGATTAGCCTGTTGCTATAACCACCATGTAGCTGCGCTCACTTACTTAGGTGGTTCTCAAATACTGTAGCCCTGCTCCCGCAACTCCACACAGTCTCCATCATATAGCATACGATCTTCAAAAGTGATACAATTCAAAATTTGACATTTTTGAAATTATGCAATACAAATGTACACAGTGCTTTTATTTAAATTTCAGCAAAAGCTAGAGCATATTTTTATTAAAAGTGGTTGAAAAAACAACCTAATATATGATTAGCATGTGATAAGAAATAGTTTTTCGAATTTTTTTATGACAAACGTGTAATTTTGAGTTGCGTCACCTTTGAAGATCGTGTGCGATACGTACTACACTCATCGGAGAGACACTCGGTAGCGAAATGGAGATTTTTATTCTCATACAAATGCATACATGTATGGATATACAAATGTATATAGTACCTACATTGACTTAATATCTTCCTCTTGTGCAGATCGCTTTATTTATGTATGTATATTTGAAGCGTTTCTCTTCTAGTAGCTCATTAGCGATATTTACTCATTTTTAAAGGTACTATGTATGTATATCAGGGTGGCCAACTCATTTTTGATAATTCCCCGATTTTGCCTGAAACCTCGTAAAATTCACCACCCATAGCTATCTTCTTATTTACGACAAAAAAAAAAAAACAAATGGTATTTTAATATATTTCTGGTCTTTCTGTTTATTTTATTTTTAAATGTAATTCATCTATGTATTCATAAACCAAACCAAACTTTTATGTTTCTTAACAAATAAAGCATACAAAATTTACATATAATATTAAAAAATTAGTCGCACCAAATTTTAACTAGTTTTCACAATTATTTTTCTTTTTTGTTATTTAATTTGAGTTATTTTTTTATAAAAATATTGTACACTTTTTAACAAAAACCGTTTAAATCCAAGTTTCAAACTTTGTGCAATATAAAAAAAACAACAAAGTTTGAGCATTTCGGGCGAAACCGAATTTCATATATCGTCGTTTTTACTTTCTCTAAATTACCTAAAAGTGTATAACAATCTTTTTTATTGTCAATAGATTGTTGTAAATATTAACTTGGAGTAAATGAGCGTCCTCAGTCAGTGAAATATCGAAGTTCTCGTATATCCCAAATTTACCATTATACGGGAAGAGGGTGTAAATTTGGTCCGATTTGAATAGTCGAGTTTGGTAAAAATTGTTAATCGGTTATCGAGATACACATTTGTGGGCATAAGTGGGCGGTGCCACGCCCTAATCCAAAAATTTATAATAAAAACCAAACTTTTTGCTCGGTGGTCATTGCAATAATCGATTTAGAGTCAATTATTTTCAGTAGTTACCGGTTTATCGCAGTTTTCGTGTTTCTGTAAATTACCGTGATATGAGAGGTGGGCGAGGCTATAGCCCGATTTCAAAGATTTTTCACAAATTTCTTAGCTGGATCCGAAGAAATGCTCATACCGAGTTTGGTAAGGATTGGTGAAACGGCTACTAAGATACAGTATTTCATCATAAGTGGGCGGGATCACGCCCCTTTTCCAAAAATTTCATAGTAATATTATTTTGCACCAAAATTCTATTTGACATACTAATTTGGAACAATTTGGATCCAATATTTACTGAAATATGAAACTTTGCATTTTTCGAAAATACCGTTATATGAGAGGGCGGCGTGGTTATAGTCCGATTTCATCCATTTTAAATAGCAACCTGCCTAGGATAAATGGCAATCTTTATACCAAATTTCGTTGAGATATCTCAATTTTCACTCGAGTTATCATATACACGGACAGACGGACGGACGGACGGATAGACATACATGGCTGAATCGATTTCTTTCTTTATTCTAATCATTTATGTATACATTTGTCTATATCTACCTCGAATCCTTTAGGCTGTTAGATACAACCGTTATGCGAACAAAGTTATAATACCCTTGTGTGCAAGGCGCTCGGGTATAAAAACTGCAAGTTTCAAGTGCCTAAAAAATTTCGCTTGAGAATTTTTTTGCCGAAGATGTTGCTGTTTTCTTCTATATAAAATAGATTGTGTTTATTCGTTATATAAAAGCAAATGCGATATTTAAAAAATCGACGGTAATTTTTAGCCATTTGAAATACTAGATTTGAATGAGCTACAGTACTGCATACGGCTAATTCCACGGTGACAATTTGACATTTTAACTTAAAAAAATGGGCCTTTCTCCGATTCCCCACGCAGATTGAAATTCCCCGCAAATCGGGGAATTCCCCACGAATTGGCTTCCCTAATGTATATGAAGTTAAAAAATTTACAGAGATCTCTCTGAAAAAAGCCAGCTTGCAAGTTGAATAACTTCTGGCAGAAGTTGATTTCCACGTCAGTATCTACATATGTATGTATGTACATACATAGAACATACATTATATCAGTGGTCCTAAAAAATAACCGCCTAAGTCGAAAAACCTGAATTCGAGAAAAAAACGTTTTTTAAACATTTCGATTGTAATGTTAACCTTATGGGGAAACTAAAATATGCTCATCTATAACTTTTTAAATAGCATAGCTGGCGAGATGGGGATTTCACATAAACATGGAATAGTAGTAGCGGAATACGATATCATATATAACTCAATTCTTCCTTAAGTCGACTTAGGCGGTTATTGCTTATGAGCACAGATATGTAGATACATCTGTATGTAAGGTAAAACAAGTAACTCAGGGCTTACACCGGACAATACTGGCATGACAATAGCAATACATGCACACTTTTTCACTAAACATGCATACTTTTCCATTGAAACAATTTTGACAACTAATACGTATATCTTCATTGTCTTGACAGCATTTTCCAATGTAAACGCGCCGTAAAACAAACAAAAAATTGTGTTGACCTATGCGGAACTCCCTCAGTGTTGGTATTTTTGTTACAATTGTACTTTTTTGATACAATTGCGTGTACAATATACTTTCCTACTACGCAGTACCGTTTAGTAAAATTTTTTTATAAACACTATAAATATATTGCTCTGAAAATTCACCGCGGAAAATTTTTTTATTCTCTTTTTGTCTTCGCCTATAGTTTATTCCTTAAAACTGTATGAAAATAAGTTTAAATCTTTAAACAACATTAAAAAAAAAATCTACAAACTTTCGTAAAAATTTCGAGCTTTCTATTTCACTTTTTTTTTAATATTTTGCAGTTTTTTAGCTCACTCAGTTTTAGTATAATAAAGCGCAAGTTTAAAGTAGTTGTAAAGTAGTAAAGTTTTGACAATGTCGGTCATTTTCTTCCATATTATCTAAGTACCTACGTTCGACGATTTTTGTTTAATGAAGAAAGTGAGCAACACCTTCATCTAAAAAGAAAATAACAATATAAAAAATCACCGATAAGTCGCAGCTATTTCTAGGAAATATAATTAAACTAGCGGTACACCGGTGTGCTTCTCTACACCAAATATTAAAAAAAAAATATTGAAAAATCATGGAATTTTTCTATATGAATTTTTTTTTTACTATATTGCAGCCATGTTTATACTTGACTTAATATATCCGAAAAAAAAATAAACACAGCACACCATAGCCACAAAATTTTTCACTATGTTTTCGATTTTTCATATATCTGCTGTTGCACCATATACGTGGTTCATGTGACAGACATAAACTGTCATATATCATGAACCGCTTGACCTAATTCGGGCATACTGCACATAACCCATCTGCATGATAGTCCGAATATACCGTTTAAATTTGGTAGAATTCGTGCACTTCTTTTTTTATTTAAGACGGAAGGTGCCACGCCACCTTTTCCAATACCGCACATTTTTTCTCCATGAGTATGGAATTATTTCATATGTCTCTATACCAATTTTCAGTAATCTACCATAAATATTTCAAGAGATATACCAGATGAAAATTTTTGTTAGTATGGGTGGTGCCACGCCCCCTTTTCCGAATTCCGGGAAACACAAACCATCTGCATAATAGCCCGACTGTGCCGTATAAATTTGGTTGAAATCTTGCACTTATTTTTTATATATAAGATGGCAGGTGCCACGCCCTCTTTTCCAATACCGCCAATTTTTCTCCATGAGTATGGAATTATTTGATATACCTCTATACCAATTTCCAGTACTCTACCGCAAATATTTCAAGAGATATACAACATAAAAATTTTAGTTAGTATGAGAGGTGCCACACCCCCTTTTATGAATTAGGGCAAACTTCACATAAACCATCTGCATGATAGCCTGAATATGCCGTATAAATTTGTTGAATTCAGTGAAGCTGTTCTCAAGTTATAAGCTCACACCAAAAACGTTCACTTATCTTTATATACACATAAGATAGCTCGAAATTTTCATGAAAAATTGTTGATTTTTTAATGTTGCGCAAGCATTGAACCTTGGATTTATAAGAGTTTTGTTAAAGTATAAACTGCGTTTTTATAAACATATAATCAAAATTAAGTAATTTTAAGATAAATGGCCAATCTTGTCAGTATGTGCGTGTCGTAAAGTTTTGAAAACCCCTTGAAATACTATTAAAATGTCCATTCATAATAACTTAAAAACTTTTGTTTGTTAAGAAGTGTACCTTTAAATATGTGCATACACATTTATGTTAAAAGTGTAAAATATGTAAATGTGCCTATGTACATAAACTTCGCCATGAATACCATCAAATCATTGGTCTTGAAAGGAATCTACAGTCAGTCAATAAAGTTTAGGTACAGCGATTTTTTTACAATACGGGCAACTATTTTTTAAATATTTTATTTTTCGCTAATTTTTTATAAAAATATGGTTAATTCTACAACAAAAACCCCAAAAAGAAAAGCTCTAAACCTTGTGCAAAATTAAAGAAAATTCTGCATAATTTAATTCAAATATTGCACTTTTTATTTACGCTCTCTAGAAAAAATTTCAGTATGCCGGTTTTTAACCCAGTCAATTTTAGTATAATAAAGTGCAAGTATGAGGAAGCTAGGACTTACCACTGATTTTTGGGAAATTTTTTTGT